TAATGTTTGTAGTGAAACTCAGTGGGGTTTAATTTAAAATTCATGCGTACTGTTTATAGTTGGGAAAAGTACTATTTAAGTCGGAAACAAAAGAATGTATAGTAATTAAATTTGTTGATGCTGTGAGATTTACAAATCTTTTCATTGCGATATTTATTGCTTATTTATATTTTTACATGTTACTACATATATTTAGACAATATAAATTACAGTGAGAAGCAAAATATTTGAAATTGCAATATGTGAACTAGTTATTTCGATTGAACTTATTTTATTTCGTACTTCAAACATTGTTTACGACGGTGTTCAAATGCATTTTATACAAATAGGTAATATATAGATAGATAAAAAATATTTGCATTAATAGTTGGGCTAGAGAGTTTTCGGAATATAAGAGATAAGGAAATTAGAAAACATTTCATATTTGGGTAGATAGTGATTATTTTTGTGATACTTATACTATTCCATATAAAGTTGCATAATATGATTAATTTTATGTAAGATTGCGGTTAATATAAAAACGACAAACACTGTTTTCCTCATTGCTGTAACATTTATTTGCTGTAAAACGTCTTTCCAGAATGATTTATTACAACTTGGTTAGTTTTCTACTTTTTCTGTTGTGGTAAATTTTAAATATTATGTTTTTAGAAATACCCTACAAATTTAAAATATTTTATAATTTAAGTTTAGGTTTTCCTCTCGAATATCATTTTTCATTGATACAAAAAATATAACAAATGGGTTTGGTTTTTTTTTCTAAACCAATATGTCGTTAAAAAAACGTAGGTAAGATTGTTCTTCTTAGAGTGCCGTATCCCTAAGGAGGTTGGCAATCATAATGGCTATTTTTATTTTAGAACTTGCTGCTCTTATTTTAGAAGATTGTTAGAGAAATAAAAATAGTTCAAAGTGGTAACCTATTGGCTATGTTTATTGCTGGATCAAAAAGTCAGTATGGTAGCAAATTGGAGAGATCTTAAATTGCTTAGTACAGAAGCAGAAATGTCGATACAAAAAGATTGTACATGATATGTATGTAGGAGAATTTATCTCTTAGTATTGATTATGTAATTTCTAAACATACAAGAAAATAAAAATTAAAACAATATGTCCCCCTTACACTGATAGATCTGTTTAAGACTTCACTGGTGACTACATACTTTGAAAGGCATATTAATAAAATTTTAGATCATGTTAATGCTCGTTAGCAGAGAACAACAATAATAAAAAGAATAAATTGTTTTCACCACACATACATATTGTACTCTATACGGGTCCATTTAATGACGAATAAATGGACGAAACAAAAATTAAGAAAACCAAAATATAGCTCCCTCAAAAAAAAACTTCTAATTCCACTTCTTTTACTTCTGGATGACGAACGAAATTGTTCGCCCGCTAGAGAACCAAATTATCTAGCTCGAGATGGCTTCCCGTCACCGAAATGAAAAGTAAATTAAAAAATCTTTTTTCCCAATGCGAGCATCTTGACCTTTCCTCTTCGAGGGAATCGTTTGGTCTATTATTGTTCTTTATTAGTAAAATACAGTCATTTTTTATTTCTTCATCAATTGTTCGACCTCTTGCAAGCTTATCAGTTTTCCTTTTCTAGTATATCATATATTTTAGAACTGATTGTGATGGTCAACAGTTCTAAAACTTCATTTAAAACTTTAGTCTGGTCAGTTGTGAAAGGTATCAGTTTGTTACCCGTTTCAAGTTAATTAGACTGACTTTTCCTTCACTTACTCGTAGATAATTTGTTTTTCTAGTTCTATTCTACCAATGCTTTGTAATATTGTTAAATGAGATTAACCTCGTCTTTTGTAAATGTTGTGGATTGGTGTTTGTCGGTTACTGCAACATCGTTAAAACGAAAACCGTTTGTAGAACCTAACTTTTGAAATAAAAATGACGTGAATGAATTATACACGTTTATTGCCACCAGTTAATTACTTGTGCAACAGCTGCGCTGTCCACCTTTTTTTCTGATTTTTACATTGAATGAAAATTTCACTAAAAATGCCGACTACACCCATGGGTGTAAGTCAAATTTACAGTAATTTTTGGCGATAATGGCGAAGTAACAATGTAAAAAAATCAATTGGATTATTACTGTCGAGGTTTGCCAAGAATGATCGACTGCTCCGAAATTCAAGTTTTTGTAGGTTTACTATATCTACCCTCGTAGGAGAATTTCTACCAGAAGTAGTAGCACCGGGCATTTCAACTTGCTAAGTTGTTTGATTTGCTAATTCTTCTGTCAAATAGTCCAATTCATAATCATCATCAGTATTCATAATCATCATCAGTACACTACTCATCACTGTTGTCTGAATATTCTTCGCCGCTGGATCCTGCAGACATATATTCATCCTCCTCTTCAGATTCTAAAATATGTCGCAATTCATCATCGGTAAGAGAACGCTTGCGCTAATATTTTGATAATTTTTGAGAAAGCCTCATTATCTATTTATTTACACCGAACGGTCCTGCT